GGTGCGGCGATGCTTGCTTGCATTGACGAGGCGAGGTTGTTGCCAGTGAGTCCCAGCTTCATTGGTGAATGCCGAACGACTGGGCTGTGATCACAACGATGGGAGCAGTCTAATTTTTGCCCGCGCATTTTTTTCGAGCAGGACGGTTCCATCGAGATCTCCCGATCAAGCTCGGTCGAACCATTTGGGGCTTTCTTGGAGACAGCGTTTCCACGCTGTAGCGCGGCTTGGCCGTATTCTTGCATGGTTGTTGCGTTGCTTCCTGGGGCCTCCGTCGGGGCCAGGCGGTGTGGGCTGGGGATGTGGGGGTCTTCGGCGATCGTGGGCTTGTCTCGGGGCATGTTGCAGCCGTCGTAGCGCGGCCTTCTCTACGCACTTGAACCGTGTGCGGTGAGGGGCCGGGGCGCCCGGGGGAAACTGCAGGGATTTCACAAGACAGCCATCAGGTCCTCGAACACACCTCAAGGTGCGGTCGGTGCGGTGGTGGATAGGCGTTCCGATCTCAGCGTTCGCATGCGTGATGTGTAAACAGTTGATATTGGGAGGGGCTGCAAAAGGCTCGAGGTGATGAGCTTGAACTATACTCGTAAAGGCTGAGCCAGCCGGCACTGATTTCACACGTTTGCGTTCTGATCGAGCCCAGAGGGTCCAGGTCTGGCGAGTTCTTTCGGACAGCAATTTGTTCTGACCAGCAAGGTGCGCTGTGTAGTGGCAGTTCGCTAGAAGCTTGTGGCCACACTGCCAGATCTCGAGGTGACGACTTATACAAGCAAGCTTGTATTAGCCAATCGGCGCTGATTTTAGTCTTTGGATCCTGATCGAGCCAGGCCATCATTCCACCTTACATTCTGCATGTTCTCAAGCATCGTGTATTTTCGCCTGGATACAAGGATACGTTTGAGCAATCCTACCTTAGACATCTGCGTAGTATTCAGGTCCCTCTCGTGTGCTGTACAGGCATTGCTGTTTTTAGTCCTGATGGCAGTAACAACCCGTGGTGCGGCGATGCTTGCTTGCATTGACGAGGCGAGGTTGTTGCCAGGGAGTCCCAGCTTCATTGGTGAATGCCGAACGACTGGGCTGTGATCACAACGATGGGAGCAGTCTAATTTCTGCCCGCGCATTTTGTTCAAACGGGACGGTTCCATCGATATCGAGATCTCCCGATCAGGCTCGGTCGAACCATTTTGGGGCTTTCTTGGAGACAGCGCTTCCACGCTGTAGCGCGGCTTGGCCGTATTCTTGCATGGTTGTTGCGTTGCTTCCTGGGGCCTCCGTCGGGGCCAGGCGGTGTGGGCTGGGGATGTGGGGGTCTTCGGCGATCGTGGGCTTGTCTCGGGGCATGTTGCAGCCGTCGTAGCGCGGCCTTCTCTACGCACTTGAACCGTGTGCGGTGAGGGGCCGGGGCGCCCGGGGGAAACTGCAGGAATTTCACAAGACAGCCATCAGGTCCTCGAACACACCTCAAGGTGTGGTCGGTGCGGTGGTGGATAGGCGTTCCGACCTCAGAGCTCGCATGCGTGATGTACAAACAGTTGATATTGGGAGGGGCTGCAAAAGGCTCGAGGTGATGAGCTTGAACTATACTCGTAAAGGCTGAGCCAGCCGGCACTGATTTCACACGTTTGCGTTCTGATCGAGCCCAGAGGGTCCAGGTTTGGCGAGTTCTTTCGGACAGCAATTGGTTCTGACCAGCAAGGTGCGCTGTGTAGTGGCAGTTCGCTAGAAGCTTGTGGCCACACTGCCAGATCTCGAGGTGACGACTTATACAAGCAAGCTTGTATTAGCCAATCGGCGCTGATTTTAGTCTTTGGATCCTGATCGAGCCAGGCCATCATTCCACCTTACATTCTGCATGTTCTCAAGCTACAAGGATACGTTTGAGCAATCCTACCTTAGACATCTGCGTAGTATTCAGGTCCCTCTCGTGTGCTGTACAGGCATTGCTGTTTTTAGTCCTGATGGCAGTAACAACCCGTGGTGCGGCGATGCTTGCTTGCATTGACGAGGCGAGGTTGTTGCCAGGGAGTCCCAGCTTCATTGGTGAATGCCGAACGACTGGGCTGTGATCACAACGATGGGAGCAGTCTAATTTCTGCCCGCGCATTTTGTTCAAACGGGACGGTTCCATCGATATCGAGATCTCCCGATCAGGCTCGGTCGAACCATTTTGGGGCTTTCTTGGAGACAGCGCTTCCACGCTGTAGCGCGGCTTGGCCGTATTCTTGCATGGTTGTTGCGTTGCTTCCTGGGGCCTCCGTCGGGGCCAGGCGGTGTGGGCTGGGGATGTGGGGGTCTTCGGCGATCGTGGGCTTGTCTCGGGGCATGTTGCAGCCGTCGTAGCGCGGCCTTCTCTACGCTCTTGAACAGTGTGCGGTGAGGGGCCGGGGCGCCCGGGGGAAACTGCAGGAATTTCACAAGACAGCCATCAGTCCTCGAACACACCTCAAGGTGCGGTCGGTGCGGTGGTGGATAGGCGTTCCGACCTCAGAGTTCGCGTGCGTGTTGTGTAAACAGTTGATATTGGGAGGGGCTGCAAAAGGCTCGAGGTGATGAGCTTGAACTATACTCGTAAAGGCTGAGCCAGCCGGCACTGATTTCACACGTTTGCGTTCTGATCGAGCCCAGAGGGTCCAGGTCTGGCGAGTTCTTTCGGACAGCAATTTGTTCTGACCAGCAAGGTGCGCTGTGTAGTGGCAGTTCGCTAGAAGCTTGTGGCCACACTGCCAGATCTCGAGGTGACGACTTATACAAGCAAGCTTGTATTAGCCAATCGGCGCTGATTTTAGTCTTTGGATCCTGATCGAGCCAGGCCATCATTCCACCTTACATTCTGCATGTTCTCAAGCATCGTGTATTTTCGCCTGGATACAAGGATACGTTTGAGCAATCCTACCTTAGACATCTGCGTAGTATTCAGGTCCCTCTCGTGTGCTGTACAGGCATTGCTGTTTTTAGTCCTGATGGCAGTAACAACCCGTGGTGCGGCGATGCTTGCTTGCATTGACGAGGCGAGGTTGTTGCCAGGGAGTCCCAGCTTCATTGGTGAATGCCGAACGACTGGGCTGTGATCACAACGATGGGAGCAGTCTAGTTTCTGCCCGCGCATTTTTTTCGAGCAGGACGGTTCCATCGAGATCTCCCGATCAAGTTCGGTCGATTTATTTTTGGGCTTTCTTGGAGACAGCGCTTCCACGCTGTAGCGCGGCTTGGCCGTATTCTTGCATGGTTGTTGCGTTGCTTCCTGGGGCCTCCGTCGGGGCCAGGCGGTGTGGGCTGGGGATGTGGGGGTCTTCGGCGATCCTGGGCTTGTCTCGGGGAATGTTGCAGCCGTCGTAGCGCGGCCTTCTCTACGCACTTGAACAGTGTGCGGTGAGGGGCCGGGGCGCCCGGGGGAAACTGCAGGAATTTCACAAGACAGCCATCAGGTCCTCGAATACACCTCAAGGTGCGGTCGGTGCGGTGGTGGATAGGCGTTCCGACCTCAGAGCTCGCATGCGTGATGTGCAAACAGTTGATATTGGGAGGGGCTGCAAAAGGCTCGAGGTGATGAGTTTGAACTATACTCGTAAAGGCTGAGCCAGCCGGCACTGATTTCACACGTTTGCGTTCTGATCGAGCCCAGAGGGTCCAGGTCTGGCGAGTTCTCTCGGCCAGCAATTTGTTCTGACCGTCAAGGTGCGCTGTGTAGTGGCAGTTCGCTAGAAGCTTGTGGCCACACTGCCAGATCTCGAAGTGACGACTCATACTAGCAAGCTTTTATTAGCCAATCGGCGCTGATTTTAGCCTTTGGATCCTGATCGAGCCAGGCCATCATTCCACCTTCATTCTGCATGTTCTAAAGCATCGTGTATTTTCGCCTGGATACAAGGATACGTTTGAGCAATCCCACCTTGGACATCTGCTCAGTATTCAGGTCCCTCTCGTGTGCTGTACAGGCATTGCTGTTTTTAGTTCTGATGGCAATAACAACCCGTGGTGCGGCGATGCTTGCTTGCATTGACGAGGCGAGGTTGTTGCCAGGGAGTCCCAGCTTCATTGGTGAATACCGAACGACTGGGCTGTGATCACAACGATGGGAGCAGTCTAATTTCTGCCCGCGCATTTTTTTCAAGCGGGACGGAGCCATCGAGATCTCCCGATCAAGCTCGGTCGAACCATTTTGGGGCTTTCTTGGAGACAGCGCTTCCACGCTGTAGCGCGGCTTGGCCGTATTCTTGCATGGTTGTTGCGTTGCTTCCTGGGGCCTCCGTCGGGGCCAGGCGGTGTGGGCTGGGGATGTGGGGGTCTTCGGCGATCATGGGCTTGTCTCGGGGCATGTTGCAGCCGTCGTAGCGCGGCCTTCTCTACGCACTTGAACAGTGTGCGGTGAGGGGCCGGGGCGCCAGGGGGAAACTGCAGGAATTTCACAAGACAGCCATCAGGTCCTCGAACACACCTCAAGGTGCGGTCGGTGCGGTGGTGGATAGGCGTTCCGACCTCAGAGTTCGCATGCGTGATGTGCAAACAGTTGATATTGGGAGGGGCTGCAAAAGGCTCGAGGTGATGAGCGTGAACTATACTCGTAAAGGCAGAGCCAGCCGGCACTGATTTCACACGTTTGCGTTCTGATCGAGCCCAGAGGGTCCAGGTCTTGCGAGTTCTCTCGGCCAGCAATTGGTTCTGACCGTCAAGGTGCGCTGTGTAGTGGCAGTTCGCTAGAAGCTTGTGGCCACACTGCCAGATCTCGAAGTGACGACTCATACTAGCAAGCTTTTATTAGCCAATCGGCGCTGATTTTAGTCTTTGGATCCTGATCGAGCCAGGCCATCATTCCACCTTCATTCTGCATGTTCTAAAGCATCGTGTATTTTCGCCTGGATACAAGGATACGTTTGAGCAATCCCACCTGGGACATCTGCGTAGTATTCAGGTCCCTCTCGTGTGCCGTATAGGCATTGCTGTTTTTAATCCTGATGGCAGTAACAACCCGTGGCGCGGCGATGCTTGCTTGCATTGACGAGGCGAGGTTGTTGCCAGTGAGCCCCAGCTTCATTGGTGAAATCCGAACGACTGGGCTGTGATCACAACGATGGTAGCAGTCTAATTTCTGCCCGCTCATTTTTGTTCAAGCGGGACGGTTCCATCGAGATCTCCCGATCAGGCTCGGTCGAACCATTTTGGGGCTTTCTTGGAGACAGCGCTTCCACGCTTTCACGCTGTAGCGCGGCTTGGCCGTATTCTTGCATGGTTGTTGCGTTGCTTCCTGGGGCCTCCGTCGGGGCCAGGCGGTGTGGGCTAAGGATGTGGGGGTCTTCGGCGATCGTGGGCTTGTCTCGGGGCATGCTGCAGCCGTCGTAGCGCAGCCTTCTCTACGCACTTCTGCAGTGTGCGGTGAGTGGCCTGGTTTCACAAGACAGCCATCAGGTCCTCGAACACACCTCAAGGTGTGGTCGGTGCGGTGGTGGATAGGCGTTCCGACCTCAGAGCTCGCATGCGTGATGTACAAACAGTTGATATTGGGAGGGGCTGCAACAGGCTCGAGGTGATGAGCTTGAACTATACTCGTAAAGGCTGAGCCAGCCGGCACTGATTTCACACGTTTGCGTTCTGATCGAGCCCAGAGGGTCCAGGTCTGGCGAGTTCTTTCGGACAGCAATTTGTTCTGACCAGCACGGTGCGCTGTGTAGTGGCAGTTCGCTAGAAGCTTGTGGCCACACTGCCAGATCTCGAGGTGACGACTTATACAAGCAAGCTTGTATTAGCCAATCGGCGCTGATTTTAGTCTTTGGATCCTGATCGAGCCAGGCCATCATTCCACCTTACATTCTGCATGTTCTCAAGCATCGTGTATTTTCGCCTGGATACAAGGATACGTTTGAGCAATCCTACCTTAGACATCTGCGTAGTATTCAGGTCCCTCTCGTGTGCTGTACAGGCATTGCTGTTTTTAGTTCTGATGGCAGTAACAACCCGTGGTGCGGCGATGCTTGCTTGCATTGACGAGGCGAGGTTGTTGCCAGGGAGTCCCAGCTTCATTGGTGAATGCCGAACGACTGGGCTGTGATCACAACGATGGGAGCAGTCTAATTTCTGCCCGCGCATTTTGTTCAGACGGGACGGTTTCATCGATATCGAGATCTCCCGATCAGGCTCGGTCGAACCATTTTGGGGCTTTCTTGGAGACAGCGCTTCCACGCTGTAGCGCGGCTTGGCCGTATTCTTGCATGGTTGTTGCGTTGCTTCTTGGGGCCTCCGTCGGGGCCAGGCGGTGTGGGCTGGGGATGTGGGGGTCTTCGGCGATCGTGGGCTTGTCTCGGGGCATGTTGCAGCCGTCGTAGCGCGGCCTTCTCTACGCACTTGAACAGTGTGCGGTGAGGGGCCGGGGCGCCCGGGGGAAACTGCAGGAATTTCACAAGACAGCCATCAGGTCCTCGAACACACCTCAAGGTGCGGTCGGTGCGGTGGTGGATAGGCGTTCCGACCTCAGAGCTCGCATGCGTGATGTACAAACAGTTGATATTGGGAGGGGCTGCAAAAGGCTCGAGGTGATGAGCTTGAACTTTATTCGTAAAGGCTGAGCCAGCCGGCGTTGATTTCACACGTTTTCGTTCTGGTCGAGCCCAGAGGGTCCAATTCTGGCGAGTTCTCCCGGCCAGCAATTGGTTCTGACCGTCAAGGTGCGCTGTGTAATTGTTGACGCTTCGCATATCCCCACCAGCGACCGTAGCCCCCCCTCTGGCTCAAGGCCGTCTCTGGGTCCCGGTCCTTCGGCCGGGTCTCCCAGCTCAAGGGGTTTCCCCTAGGAGTCTTTTGCCGCGCGTCTCCCCCGGGGCCGGGCCGCCATAGCAGACTCCCTGGATTCCTCGACTTCGGCCTCGTGAGCGGCCCTCCGCCTAGCATGGATGGGCGATCGATCGGCGATGATCCTGTCATCCCTGTGGGGACGAGGGCCACGTCACCTGTCGTCGACCCTGGGGCCAGTGGTCTGACTGACTCAGGACATCCTCGCCCTAGATCTCAGGACGCCATCCCGCCAGGGCAGCCGTCGCCTCATGCTCCCTGGAGTGGGAACGCTTCTGCCGATGCTTCATGCGCACGAGGACCGTTGGCCCCCAGCCAAACGGAAGAAGGGGTTGAGTCTCTCAACCCTGTTACGCACACCGATATTGCGACCTTCCGTCGCTTCCCTGGATTCGAGAGCGGCAGGCACGGAACGGTAGAAGGGGTTGATGCGGTCAGCCCCCTGATGCACACTGAGATTGCGACCTTCTGTCGCTTCCCTGCATGTGAGAATGGCAGGCATGAGGCCCTCCCGCCTAGCTCATCCCCTTCGCTCACCCCTACCCTTCCCATGCCCACTGCTGGGCGCCCAATCTCTTTCTCTCCAGGCGGTGCTGGGCAGAGTGGGATCGCCTACGGCGGTGCCAGCTTTACGGGGGCCAACGGCCCCACTCCTGAAGCAGCTAATCCCCCCACGGATCCTGGTCCTCCTATGCAGGCTGACGAGGAGCAGAGAGGCGCCCTCGGCTTCCGACACAGGGACCTCCGCGGCGTGGAGGGGGAGACTAGGGACCCGACACCCCCAGCAGGCGCTCGCGAGGGCGTCGGGGGGGGAGACGGGCAGTCGCTTGCCCTTGGCCCCGACGCGCATCACAGAGGCTTGTGCCCTCACTCCGCCGAGCCCCCCCTTCTGGACGCGATCACGCCGAGTGAAGCAGCCTTCGGCTGCGCTTTGAGCCTAGAAGACGGGCCCTCAGGTCCTGGCGCGCATGTCGACGCTGATGCTGCGCTAGGTCGCCTCCAGGGGTCTGAGAGCGGCAGGCGCGATACTGGAGGAGGGGGTGACGCGTCCATCCCCGCGACTCGCACAGATCTTGGGACCTTCAGTCGCTTCCCTGGAACGGATGACGGCAGGCAGAGGGATGCCCACGGTGTTCAACCCAGGGAACGGTGCGACGGGGAAGAATGCACCAGGGAGCTAACCTCCATAGGAGGTGGTCGCGAGGACGTCGACAGAATGCACACTGACGCTGCGACCTTCCGTCGCTTCCCTGGATGTGATGATCGCTGGCAGAATGCCCTCCCGCCTAACTTAACCTCCTCTCTTACCTCTATTGCTCTCATGTTCGCTGCTGGGCGCCCAATCCCCCTCTCTCCAGGCGCCGATGGGCAGAGTGGAACGGCCCTCGGCGACACCGGGGCCACGGGGGGCGAGGGCCTCACTCCTGCGCAAGCGAACCCCCCCACGGATCCAGGGCCTCGTAGACAAACTGACGAGGGGCAGATGAATGCCCTCGCCGTTCGACCCAGGGGCCAAGGCGACCTGGAAGGGGAACCCAGGGAACTGACACCCTCAGGGGGCGCTCGCGAGGGCGCCGGCAGGAGAAACGGGCTGGCGCCTGCCCGTAGTCCTGACCCGCTTCACGGAGGCTCGCGCCTACACTCCGCCGAGCCCCCCCTCCTGGACGCGCCCGCGCCGAGTGAGACAGTCCCCGCTGGCGAGCTAAACGCTGAAGTCGGACCTTCTGCCCGCGAAGCGCATTCCGACGCCGACGCAGCGTTCGGCCGCTTCCATGGGCCCGCGAGCGGCAGGCATGACGCTGGAGGAGGGGGTGATTCAATCATCCCCGCGAGACGCACAGATCTTGCGACCTTCAGTCGCCTCCCTGGATCGGATGACGGCGGGCATAGGGGGGCCCAAGGCGTTCGACCCAGGGACCGTTTGGAGGCGGGAGTGAGGACCATGGACCTTGCCCCCGCGGGGGTTGGTCGGGGGGGCGTCGGCAGTGTGCACCCTGGCGGCGCGACCTTCAGTCGATTCACTGGAGGTGAGAACGGCAGGCGCGACACTGGAGGAGGGGGTGATGCTCTCATCCCTGCGATACACACAGATCTTGCGACCTTCCGTCGCCCCCCTGGATCGGATGACGGCGCGCAGAGGGAGGCGCACGGCGTTCGACCCAGGGACCGTTGGCTGGGACCCGGCCCCCGCAGAGGTGGGACGGGAGGGCGTCGACAGTATGCACACTGACAGTGCGACCTTCCGTCGCTTCCCTGGAACAGGCGACGAGGTTGGCCTCCCGCCAGAAGGAAGAGAACGAGAGTCGGGGGACCCCGATTCCAGTGATCGCAGGGAGACGCCCTCCTCCACGGAGATGATCGATCGCAATCTTCCCTCTCTGGGATTGGCGGCTGGATGGCCCGTGGGGCCTCCTTGTTCGCCCAGTGCCACCAGGATCGCTTCCGATCCCGCGGTCGGGGCCGCCCCTCTGGTTGATCGGATCGGTCGCGCTAGGTCTCCGATCCCGGCGGCCGGATCGCCCCGTGCCTTCCCTCCCTCGTCCACCAGCTCTTCTCCCGACTTCCCCCCTCCCGACCCGCCTCCCGGGTTCGAGTTTCCTAACGCCGCGTCCGGCGGACGCCGCCGTGGACTTGAGTACTCGTCGCAAGACAGAGAACGGGGGCCCCTCTTTTGGACGGACAGCGGCTCGCCTTTCGCGGTGAGCCACGCACTGTCCTAGCTGACCCCCCCTTCTACCCATCCCCAGACCTTGCCCTGGAGGAGGAGCTGCGGATGGAAAACCCGCCCACCCCCTCAGACCTTTGACGACCCCAGCCAAGCGCTGAGGAGCAGAGGACAAAGCGCCGTTGACCTCCACGCTCGGTGGTTGGACGCTACTGGGCACACGAACGCTGACTGGGCGGCCAGCCGGGAGGCGGACGGACCCATGTGTGGCCCACGCGTGGCGGACGCCAGGATCACCGGCAGGGGGGGTGCCATGAGGGCCCTACGTCGGCACCTAGTGCGCATTGACGGTCCTTGGCGCGAGGTCCCCGACCGCGCAGCGCCGAGAACTCCTCGTGAGACCAGCAACCTGGAGCTCCTCATACACCACGCGTGGAGGGGGCACCGCCCAGGCCACCCGGGCATGCGAGCCGACAGCCCCATGCGTGTGGCTCCAGTAGAAGCCGCCCTCCCTGGACGCTGCTCGGAGCTAGCTACTTCAGCCCCGATCCTCGCTATACTGGACCACTCCTGGCTAGTCTGGCCCATCACTGGAGGAGACTATGAAGGGCGTCTGGGAGGCGTTCAACCGGACCCAATACAGGTCCTTGCCTTCCGCTTTGCGAGCATCGCTCGTGACCCCAGCATAAGGAGGGAGAGACTGGACGCCGCCGACCCCTCATTGACGAAGAGGCAGCTGGCTCGCCTCGAGTACGTTGCCATGGTCGCCGCTGCGCACTACTGCGACATAGGCATGGAGCTCACGAGCGGTTTTGACACAGGGTGCTCATGCCTACCAGATACCCTGAAGACGCTGCCCCCCTGCACAGCAGTGGCCCCAACCGAGCGGACGGGGCGCAGGACCCCGTGGATGATGGGGTCATGGACTATGCGCACAGAGTCCTAATTCACGAGCGCAGACAAAACATAGTCCACTTTCCGGACCATGGGGACGTCAGACAGTGGGCCATCACGAGAGGGAACCTCGAACGGGTGGGGAGCGACGTGCGTTCGAGACGACAAGCAGGTAGAGGCCCAGTACCATGGATAGAGCCCGCCCTCTCGGGGAAACCCGCCAGCTCCACGGGCGTCCCTGGGGCCCCCATTCAAGGGAGCGACAGCAGCGACAACGTGTGG